ATACGTATGATTACTTGTAATGATGAGTTCAACTCGTCTGGACTTAATATTAAAGAGGTAGTGTGCCTGTTGTCTTTGCCTTTGGAGTATTTTACAAATCGTAGTGCGTACGCAATGATTCGTTGCAATCTTGCAAACGAGTTTCTATAATTGATCTTATAGATGAAATCTTCAGTAATGCTAGTGATTGCTGAAGTTACGATTGAAGGTTGTGTTGAGCATTGCATTTCAAGTGCCCTCCTTTTGGTTTCAGAATGATCAGTTATAAGATGTTCCTGAGCAATTGGACCTGGCCATGATGATTCGCTTCCATATAAAAACAGTGGTCCAAAAAACCATATGTGACTGGAATGTAATTCCGTAGGTTGAAAACCCCTTGATAGGTGATCTGCTGGATTTAATTTGGACGTTACATGACGCCATTGGCTTGCGTTAGATATTTCATGAATTCGTGCTACTCTATGTGCTACAAATGTTTGAAAAATATTTGAGTTAGAGTTGATCCAGTATAATACAACTTGTGAGTCTGTCCATAAAAAGGATTTGTGGTTATCGTATGCAAGATCTTGTTTAACCTTCGCTAACAGTTGGGCTCCCAGAAGTGCTGCACACAATTCTAATCGTGGAATTGTTTGCCTTTTTAATGGCGCTACTCTTGATTTTGAGCAAAGTAGCCATACAATGATTGTACCTGTTTTTAGAATTGCTCTTACATAAATTGCTGCTCCATATGCCTTTTCAGATGCATCTACAAAACAATGTAATTGAATATCTAATGGAATTTCATGGTTAAAAACATGTCTCGGAATGATCATATTATTAATTTCTTGCAGTCTTGACCGAAACTTAACCCATTCGGCTTCATATTCATGAGGTAATGGATCATCCCAGGTCGTCTTTAATTCCCAAATTCGTTGAACAAATATTTTTGCTGTGACTATGATTGGTGCTACCAATCCTAATGGGTCATAAAATCTTGCTAAGTCTGAAGCTACTGAACGCTTAGTAAAAGTTGTACATGGTGTTATACTTGTTGTTATGCACAAATTATCAAGCTGTGGTGTCCAAATCATTCCCAAAGTCTTAGCTGTTTTGAACGAACAAGTAGAAATATCCCAACAGACTTCTTGATCATGTGGTGAAATGTTTTGTAGTAATTGTGGGTGATTAGCGCACCATTTTCTTGGCTTAAAACCATAAGATTTCAAAATGTTAATTAGTTGTTCTTGAATCACCTTAGCCTCTATCAGACTGTTAGAACCACATAATCCATCATCGACATAGAAGTCTCTTCGTAGGGTCTCTGCTCCAAATGGATAAGTACCAGAACTTTCTCTTGCTAAAGTTTGTAAACATTTGGTAGCTAAGTATGGAGCTGATCGCGTCCCATATGTCACAGTTTTTAGTTTATAAAATCGTAGCGGCTCTTGTGGATTATTTCTCCAAATGATTAATTGTAGCATTTGATCTTCTGGGTGAATAAGTATTTGCCTATACATTTTCTCAATGTCCGTTGTGAAAGCGTATCTTGGAATTCTGAATCGTAATAATATTGAGAATAGATCGCTCTGTACCACAGGATCAGTATGCATAATGTCATTCAATGATCGATCTGATGAAGTTTTACTAGATGCATCAAACACAACACGTAATTTTGTCGTGGTGCTATCTGGTTTTATCACGCAATGATGAGGAATGAAATAATGTGAGGCCATGATGTCATCAGGTTGAATTTCTTCCATGTGACCGAGATCTTTATACTCAGTCATAAACTGCACGTATTGTGCCCTTAATGCTTCATTTTTTGACAGCCGTCGTTCAAGAGAGAAAAATCTGTGTTGTGCAATTTCACTAGAGGATCCTAATGTTGATACACTGTCAATAAGTGGCAATTTCACAATAAATCTGCCTTCTTTAGTACGTTTCAAGTTTTCCACAAAATGAGTTTCACACAATTTTTCTTGATCAGACAGTAGTTTTGAATTTTGTGCTGATTCTTCAAGATCCCAAAATCGGACGAGGAGATTATTTAGCGAATCTTCTTCTTCGCTAAACATACAACAGACAGCGTCACCTTTTGCTGTTTCTGATAGTTTGCCACTTACAACCCATCCAAGAGTAGTATTCTGAAGTATTGGTTTGTCGACTCCCAATTGGATTTGCCCTGACGTCAAGAGATGTGGATAAAATTCAGCTCCTAATAATACGTCTATTTTTTGTGGCTCATTGAAGTTAGGTTTAGCTAATGTAATATTTTTTGGAATGTTCCATGAACTGATATTGACACATTGTGTTGGTTGTGGAGCAATAATATGTGGTAACACAAATGCTTCTAAATTTGTATTGAAATTGCTATTCATTGACTTAAAGACAGTGCTGATTCTTTGACGAGCACCCTTTGTGGTGTTACCAACTCCATTTATACGCATTAATGTTGCTTTTGGAGTTATTCCTAGTCGATGAGCTACCCTCTCGGTCATTAAATTAACTTGAGAACCTGAGTCTAATAATGCTCTACATTGAATTTCTTGGCCGTTATGTGCCAATAATATTATAGTTGCTGTTCCTAAGAATACATATTGCTGTTCATTGTCCTTTCTTGCAATAGTTAATGATGCTTGATGATCAACGCTTAAACCTGTGCTTACATTGCGTTGAGTATTGTTCGACTTTGGTATTGTTGTATGTTTTTCAGTGCCATTAACCCATGAGTTTACATGTAGTAAAGAGTTGTGTTTTTGACTACATTTGATACAATTGCCTGATTTACAGTTGTATGCTATATGACCTGGTCGCAAAGAGTTACGACATAAGTTTTGTTTTTTAACAAATTGTAGTCGTTCAAAAGTATTTGCTTGTAAGAACCCTTTGCATTGGTATATTTGATGTAAATCTTGCTTACAATATATGCATGATTGCCTGGTTGATTTGTTGATTGTTGCGGTATTACATACCTTTACGTTATTATTGGTAGTACTCTTTTGGCCGATTGCTTACAGAGTTTGAAAACGTGTTTCAATGAAACTTAGAAACCCTGTCATTGATTGTAATTCCTTTGGTCTTGCCAATGATTGCTCATACAACGTATGTGTAGTTGCATCCAGCTTCTTTGTTAATAAATGAAGAAGGAGTGGATCCCAATGAACTGTTTGAACATTTAAGTTATTTAATGCCAACAAACATTCATGTATTACATCATGTAGTGACTTCAGAGACATTGCAGTGCCAGAGCATTGAGGTTGTCCGAGCAGCCGTTGTATTAACATGGTTGTTAATATCCTCTTATTCCTGTATCTCTCCTGAAGTATCTTCCATGCTACGTCGTAACTATCATTGGTAGTTGGCAGATGTCTGATGAGCCTCTCTGCTTCTCCTGATAAATTATTTTTTAAAAACCACATCTTTTGTACCTTGGGTAGTGATTGGTTGTCTACCATTTGAGAGAACATATCATAAAATTGTGTCCATTTAAGATAATCTCCGTCAAATCTCGGTATAGACACCTTCGGTAATTGAATTGGATTGTTAGTTACCTCTGTTGTAACTACATGTGGTTGTTTTGTTATTATCAGCTCAGAAATTGAAATCAAAGTTTGTTGTATTAATTCCTCTAATTGTTGATAATCGTCTATATTGTAACCAATTGATAGTGGGTCACTAGCGATTTCCCATATATTAAAATTGAGTTCCTCAATTTCTTGCCACAACTTGTTGATTTTTATTTTGTATATTTCCAACGCAGTAAACGTGTTTGATCCCAAATCTAATTGGACTTTCTCCAATAGTCGTTTTAATGATATTTTCATTCCCATTTGCTTGTTAATGAGACATGAAATTTCTGTTTGTTTAGATACTTGCGACTTCTTGCTGAGATTTGCTTCATCACTGAACTCCTGTAGTTGCTGAGTGAATCGAGCAATGTAGCATTCTGCTAAGTCTTTAGTTTTTAAATAATCCTCATTAGTAAAATATTCATGAGTGGTTTCGACATCTGACAACTCCCTGATACGGTTGTCATTCTCTTCAAATTCAGACCATATATTAATTAAACGCCTTTTACGTTCTTCAAAGTAAGCTTTATTCAATTTCCTTTCTTTTGGATCCTTTTTGAAATTCGAAATCAATTTCTGGATTAATTGACCCAGTTGTTGCTGTTCGAGAATTAACTCCTCAAAAGTTTCCATATTTGTTTCCAGCAAATCAGGTACCTTGGTGCTTGTAATGTGTTCGCAGCTCACACTGTTGTGCTCTTGCTGTTTTATTGAAAGCTCACACTTGTTGTGCTTTTGCCTTTTATCTACTTGAAGCTCACACTGTTGTGCTCTTGCTCCGACGCCTTAATGAAGTAGTACGTGATCGTGATCTTTGGTCACGTCCTTGATTTACGTCCTTGATCTACGTCGATCACGTCGGGGTCACCAAATTTTATGTATATTTAAAATACCTTAATCCTTATAATATTCAATAAGCACTTTAACTTATTGAATATGGCTTATTGGTTATAGATTAAGCACTTGAAACTTACTCTATATAAAGCAGAATTAGGTTTTGACAAGAATCAAAGAATATTTTTTATTAATTGATTACTTTATTTATTGTTTCAATTTCTTTTATACAATTTTTGTGCAATAATTTTATTAATAATAATTATACCTCAGCAACAAATTAATTGGAACACTGTTAATAATGCATAATGCAAAGTTGCATATTTCACCGTTGCTCCAGTTAAGTTGTTGCCTTAGCTTAACATAAATATTCAAAATAAATTATTTCACAATTGCTAAATTGCTTTAAATATAAATTGAATGACACAATTTAACAATGTGAAATAATTTATTTATTATTTAATTTCTACCTTAACAATTTTAATGTTTTATTTTATAAAACTAGTATTAATAGATAAGTTTCAAAAAATTAGAATATAATTTATCACAAATTAAAAAACACATTCTTAGAAATTTAATAAAATATTAACAAGTTTTTACATTTTTTCGTTACAGCGGTGGACGTATGTGGGGAATGTCACATTCATTACCGTCCGGGATGGTTCGTATATTTTTTTAAATTGATTGAATGTTTTTGGACACGACTTTGTTATTTTTTATGCATTCTTTTTCAATTCAACTGACACAAAAAGTTATTACAATGATAAGAATTCTTAACTTTTGGAGCACACGCTTTTTATATAAGAAGTAAACAGTTCACACAAATGATATAAATAAGTATATTTTTGAAACCATAAAAATTTTTACACAAATTACATATGTTAACACATTTACAAGCAACAATAACAATAATAGAAACCGTACTTCCTACAAATATTCATATGTTATTTTTGTCATCCAATTACATATACACAAAAAAGTTGATGTTTGAACTATAATTGCTAGGTGAATAAAAATTAAAAAAACCTTGATATATATTTGGTTCTATAGCTTAGACCTATTAAAAATAAAATATTAAATTAATGAATTTATTTAGTTGATTAAAATAAAGTTCGGATTAATTATATTCTTGTTTTATGTTGCAGATATATATTTCTTTTCATTCCAAAAATATTTTATGTTAGATTAGGAAAACAGTAGTTAGCGATAGAGGAACATTACTACGTTCTCCGATATGATTCAATCTATTTCATTCTGAAATGTGTTAAAAAACGCTTCTACCTATGGTAATTCTATCATCGAATAACGTCGTATGCAAGCAAATAAATCAATACTCGTTTGGGCACAATTTGATTTTGCTTAGAATATGTTATAAAAATAAGTTCGATGTTTGGGTGACTGACGTTTTTTTTAACGTTTTAGTAATTTTTTTTATGGTGCAAATTTTAGCTGTTGTTTGCATTTATAATAACCAAGGTGTGCATTCCGAAAACTTCTGAGTGTAAAGAGTATTTTTTGGTATACGAATCGATGGCGATGTGTGTATTGTTTTAATGTAATTTTAATTTTATAAATGGAAATATGTCATAAAGTAAAGAATGCAAAACTAAATAATTCTTTCGTTTAATTGAAATACATATTTCAACTTACCACCCAATTACCTCAATAAAAACATAAATTTGTTATTTGAAAAACTGCACTCTCGCAAGTTTGGGTTTTAAATAATGATATACCATACAGAATAGAAAAAGAAAATCCTAGTATATATAAAAAATTGTTCATTTTATTCTAGTTCTTTAAAAGATAAGACAAACTTTCCATTTCAGCATCTGGATGAAGAAACATCATGCACCCAAACTCTTTTATATATTTATAATTAATGAATATTGGTGTTTCCATTAATAATATAGCTTCGTGATCTTTCACGTTGCTGTCATAAGTTGTCAATGTATACGTCTAAGAACTTAAGCTTAATCGTATCCTTCTTAATAGGTGTGATTGTGCCATTAGGATCATTTTCATCAATAATCGTGACGTTGCCATGAAGTTTTGTGTTTTCGGCATGGTGTTTGAGTCATCTAATAAGCGGTGTAGCTTCGACGTAAGTTCCTTGTATATAGACTTCAGTGATTCGAATGTAATCGAAACATAGCCACATCTCTCGATCAGTCTGGCCGTTGCTCGGCGTTCTTTGTAGTTTCTCTTTGAAGGAGGGCCAGACCGTATTAATGGTCCAGAACGCGTAGATATGTTGGGAATTTTATTGATTTGCATCTTTTTATTACTGCTGGAAGTAGGTGTCAGTAGGTGTCTTATTTCTAGTGTCCGAAGGTTTTGAACTCTGTATATCCGAGCTTCCCTCATTTGTATTATTTTGATTATTTATATTTTTTTCGTTCATGATTTAACCCACGAGTTGTGGAAAAGGGGAAGTTTCATCCGGGCAAGGATCCACTATATTAAGAAAAGCCTAATTACAACCGGTGCTAGTTGTCCCGATGCCACCGTTTGAAAACACACTAACGTAGTGCCATCCATCTTATCAGCACAGATCAAATAATACCGGAGATTACGGATTTTATTGATTTTCTCTCTCTAGATCTATGATGATCTGTTACGTCAACATGATGATTAAAAAGAAAAACAGGTACACCACGAGAAGAACGTGATTAAGTATCACGCATCATGATATTGATATGTCATGGACTTAGGGTTTATATATACTATTTTACGTATAAACATATCCCGTTCATCGAAGAACACGAACCATTTACTTTTTATTTCATTTTAAGGTATTTTTACTTAATATAAAATATTACAAGTATAATAATAATAATTTGATAAAAAAGAATTAAAGAAAAATAAGAATTTATTTGTTAACTCAATATTAAAACAAATTATTATTCGCTGACCAAAAATACAAATAATTTAAATAAAATATCGCCATTACAATGTAATTACATTATATCTTCAGGATGGTCGATACTAAATAATTAACAATGTTATAAAATTAACAGGCACGTATGACTTATAATTTAATTTAAGGCGTACAAAAATCAGCCATTAGTACTGTGTCATTTGCTTATAGAAATCTTGTCATACATCCTCCAATTCTAGATAAGCTCCAAAGAAAGTGGTACATGTCATCTAAAAAAAGCATTAGAAGTATCAGATTCAAAGGGCAATCCGTTTTTATTTCGGACTCCGATGGAAACCAGTTGGAAAGACTGTTTCTATCCCATAAATATACCTTTGTAACACAACAAAAATTCTTTAGTATTGTTAGTATTTTCGTTAATGCTCCATAATAAATTAACTTATAAAACATTGCTTTTTTGACAATAGACTCGAATGAATATTGTTATTTATAACACGGGTAAGATATTGTAGGTGAACCATTCAACTCTTGGCTCTACGGACGGAACCAATTAGTGCGGACGAAGGAAAAAAAACTACGTCTTAATGCTATGTATTCCGGAGGTTAAATTTTGTGTATGTGGGCATTGACACACCATTTGTAAATAAAAAGAGTATAGTTAGTTTTAGAGAGAAGAAGAGCTCTTTTAGCATTGATCAGAATGCCAGTAAAATCACGAAAGAGTATAGAAAACAAGTGCTCTATAATATTGAGATGAGAGGACAAACTTTCTTAATGCTACAAAATGCTACTTGAGTGATAACCTTTTGTCAAATTTAATTCTAATCCCCGTATTATTTAAGAATTGGAAAGGCATAGTTTTACTTCCTGCAGATATGGAAGGATGCACATTTATTAATGGCTAATGCTGTTAAAAAATGACATCAAGATTGTTATACATTGTCAGGCAAGAGACCGTATCAATGTGACTAATGTCTGCCATGATTTTCCAACAAGATCGAAAGCTATAATAAACAATATTCTAGAGAGGAAAATAACGTTTTCTCTTGTGTGCTCTCTAAGATTTGAATAGATGGAATTCAGACAAGCCTTTAAAATTTAGCATTTTACTAATATTACCTATTTATTGCTAAAATGTTGATAACATATCTGTAATCATTAAAAATTGGTATTATATATCAGGTCAAAATTAATAAGATGATAAAAACACATTGCACATTAAAATACGAGGCTATAAAATATCTTTTTCCCGGGAGCACTTTTTTAACGTCTTCGAAAAAGTAGTAATCGCATGTCTTCCATACGCATATTAACAAATTTCACTGAGAAATAAACTTCACTTACGGATTAGAAAAAAAAACGATTTTCCATTCACCGAAGTTAAATCATCAAACAAAGTATTTGTTTTTTAATTGGTGCAGTACACTTACTAATACTTTTTCACTCATATTTAAATTCTTTTATTTAACAACGTAATAAAAACTGTTATTATTGTCATTATTAATTTTGTATTTACTTAGTATTGTTAATGCAAAGTCGTTCTTACATTTTTATACATTTTATATAAAGAACTATTATTTTTGCGTTTTCCCTAAAAATAATAGATAACAAATATTGAGTTTAAAACATAAATTTACTTTTTTCGTTAAACATTTTAAAGCAAATTTTTATAATTAAATTTGTAAATAATTTATCCTTTTTCACTGCAACATTACAAATATTGAGTTTAAAAATATTTTAAGATTTTTATTTATTATTATTTGTGCCAAATTTCAAAATTAGAGTTTTACAAATAATTTATAATTGTTATTTTTTCGATATTTTTTTACAAATAAATAAAAAACCGAAATCGATAAAACCGATTTACAACAAATATTAAGAAATCAAAAATCCATCAAAAACTCTAATTATTCGAATTAAAAACTCTGATAAAGAAATTCCGCTTCAGGATTTTAAGGAGTTCATGCGGAACTGATGAAATCTAAATGTTTGGATACAGTATCTTTTTTGGTAGTGGGCGAGTCACATCTAATACCTCTTTGGACAATGTAAAATGAATTTTCACATCCAATAAAAGTAGATGAGTAGAGTCATTCTATTATCGTTAATTTGGGTTGTAACCATAGCTGCCATGATACTCCGATTAAGAAACCCATCTCTATTCGTCACGACAGCAAAGCTGTGGGTCCTGGCTACCATGGTACCAGATTTATATCTCTGGTTTGGTGCCACATGGGAAACCCACTCATCAAACCGCCCAAACAATATCGGGCGGTATCTACTTGATATCAGTCGCCTCTTACGATTCATTTATTTTATATCGAATACCACTACCATATATGAAAGTAATGAACAATCCAATAGCTCTCAATTTTGTTTAAATAGCCAAAAATCATTCATGGTAGATAAATGTATACTTTTGGCAACTTTGCGTTGTGAGGTGTTAATCGATTAAGCAGCTTGAAAGTGATTGTGTTACATAAGCTACCAGTGTTATATCATTTATCGTTTTTAAAGTTAGCATTTATTATTTTGCAATGTGCTTATCAAACAACATTTTCATTTAAAGTTGTTAGTATTTTATTTTTTTAAAATTTATCAAACTTTTTTAAAAATGATTTATGGAACTACATTCAAAGGTCTGTAAAATTAAGTAATAATTTCAATATTGATGCAAAATGTTTCCAGTTATAAAAACACATATCAACTTTTTTGTGTGTCCCATTAATTTTTACAGAATTTTAATACTTATGTAACAAATGAGAAATATTAAATTTGTTTAAAACTTGTAAATAAAAGATTTTAATTTTGAATGCCGAATATGAATTTGAATAACAAATGTGACTTGAATTTCTGTTCCAATTTACTTGGAACAATTTTTTTTAAATGACTATTCTTTTATTTTTGGCATTGTTGTTGTTGCTGTTTATATATTAATATATCAGATATTGGAATATCATTTTGATAATTATGATGATTTTCTTTTGTTTTTGTGAATGTTTTAATGTATTCAATAATATAAATATATAAATTTTTAAAGCAAAAAACAATTTTAACGAATTTTAAAATTAGATAAAATATTAATTTATTTCTTATTAAGCTAAAAAATCAAGACGATTTTTCAAAAAATTAATTTTCAATTTCAAACACTTCAAAACTCTCCACATAACGATTATATGAAAAGCAAAAGCGCCATCTATGTTCAAAATTCTTTGACTTGAAATTTCAGTCACGTTATGCGTTTTCACCGCAGGATGCAGATTTCACATCATCATATCCAGGTACAAACTCGCGTAGAGTCTACAATGATTTTTCAGGAGGCGGTGGCAGTGGTAGCACGATGAGCTCTGTGGGAAACATGGTGCCTGCTGCAAGTACCAACTCTTTAAGCTGTGCTGATGTATCCAATGCGGGTGGCGTGAATGGAACCAACTTAATTGTGAATTATTTGCCACAAGATATGACAGATCGTGAACTTTATGCTTTGTTTAGGACTATCGGTCCTGTTAATACTTGCAGAATAATGAGAGACTTTAAGGTAAATTTTAAAGAACTTATCTAACAATGGTGCGACCAGTTTTATATAATATGTTTAATAAGCTGTGCATTTTATAAAATTTATAAAATTATAATTATTTTTTATCTCTCTCTTAATTCTTTAAAAGAGACACAAAAAAGAATTAAAAGCTTTTATTTTTAATATTGTGTATATATTCATCACGTTTAATTTGCCAAATCAAATAAACATATTTGATCTATTGTATAAACAATGAATTTAATATTATTTTTGAATATAGTTTCCTCTTTGGGAGCGAGGCCTATCTATCACCTATGCTTTTCATTGAAAAATGTGAAATGCAACTTCACATCCAATGAAAGCAAAGGAAGAAAGTCATTCTAACCGCATAAATTTGAGCTTTAACCATAGCAATAATACTCCCATTAAAAAGCCAACCTCTAGTGGTTAGGAAGCACAAAATTGTTGGCCCTTACTAGTGTGGTATTAGAAATACACCTCCGGATGGGTGCCGCAAGTGAAATTCACTCACTACCATTTTTACTCGATTAGATTTTAGTTGACGTTTAAGACAGACATGTCTTACATCAGGAATATTTGAACCCCTTTTCCGCGATTGTGAGTACTGTTACAATAGAAGCTTTAAAATTATAACGTGGCCCTTAAATTTATATAGTGTCGACGCAGGCTTCTGCAGAAGCATTTGTTGAATTCCACTAGCATTTAGCATGATTGCGTACTGATAATAAATTGTTTCAAATTGTTACAAGTGACCTAGTGACGACGCGTGCCCTATCTGAAAGGGTGTGCAGCTTGTCTACAATGTTGTTTTGACATGTACCGCTTAAATCAAAAATTGAAATATATGAGATGTTTTATTAATAATGATTATTTTACTTTACTTTTAACAATATATTCACAATATAATGTTTAATGTTAATGTTTTATAATGTTTAATTCATTTACTAAAGAGGTTTTTAAAAACAGTAGTGAACTACAACAACAAAATTCATTTCATATTATTTTGATTAATATAATTTTTGACTAACCATACAGCTGTTTCGAGTATTGCCGAATACTCATCATCAGTGGTCTTAAAAATAATTTTTGTACTTAATTAAATAATTTTTTTGAGACTGCAAGTGCTAGAAATCGAACTCGGGTTCTGTCAATGTGAAGCTCAAAGTCAACGCACCAACTGACCCAAAGCCGTACTTGATTTTTTATGTTCGCACTTTTTTCTGAAGTTTTGTTACTTTGCTATGAAAGTTTTATTAACAAATTTATTTGCTGTGTTTATATTAGAACGAAATCATAAACCAGGGCCCTATTGCACCAACACTTTTCATTTTGCACTTTGCAAAGTATTATCAGTTTTCTCGCATTTTGCTCTCATTGAGAACAGAAAGCATTAATTTGAGAATTGAGTTAAGCAAAGTTTTGAAAAGACTAAAAAAAGGCAAAGCGTTGCACCAATGTACTTTTCAATGAAAAGTAAAGTGTGAAAAGAAAAGTGAAATATTTGACAAAAAACCGGTTTATTTTTGTTTTGTTATTTTGTATTTTCTGTTGCGACTTTGTATGCAAGCGATTTTAGTATTTGCGCGCAAAAAAATCACTCCGTAACTTTCGGTGTTTTCTAAGCGAAAAACTTGAAAAGTGATATTAAACTCATCACAAATAATCGAGACAATGACTCTTGAACAAGATAAATAAAAAATAATAGTGCCCAATGAAATAAAATATTATTATATTTTGACTTTGTTTCCGAATTTGTTTATTTTTTTCCAAATCACACACACTTGAAAACAGTTGATAGAGACAGCAAACAAAGCTTAAAAGCTCAAAAACAAATTTACAAAAAGTGTTGCAACTGGGTAGAATAACTAAACAAATTACAAGTCGCAAATTTGAAAAATTGTGTAATTATGTAATTAAATAACAAACTTATGCTAAATAAATAAAATAAATAAATACGCGAAAGGACGACTCAAAAATTTATTGTTTGATAAATTCTTAAGTAAAATTGAAATTTATATTATATTATATTATAAATTTATATTATACTTATATTAATAATATATATTTATATTTTTTAATAAATGTTATATTTTTCGTGCCATTTAAAATAAAACTTATAATCAAATAATTAAAAAGTAGGAGTTTCTTTTTCACAACAAATTACTCAGAGACAGCTCACTTCAATTACTGCTCAGCTCACTTCCGCGATACCAACCACGATATGCCAATTAATAGATCACCGCCTTCGCATAGCGGAGGCACAAACCACTCACCCATATGCTACCCAATAGCAGATGGTAATTCTGAGAAGCCAACCACGAACCAAACAGCAACGCTAAACAACCAATCTCAAAGGCAACGTTCATACTGGGTAAGTGTATAAAATTTTTTATACATATCAATTAAAAAGTGCCAAAGGATTAACAGTGGTTATAAGAGGAATAGAACCAGATTTGAACACAGCAGAAATTAAAGAAGCACTTGCAGAAAAAGGATTTAAAACAAAATCAGTATACAACATTAAAAACCGCGATAAAGTTTCGACACCGCTATATAGAATAGAGCTTGAACCAGAAGGAAAGAAACTCAAATCGAACGAGGCTCACCCAATTTATTCCCTACAATTCCTACTCCACAGAAAAATATCAGTAGAAGAACCGCACAGGCGTAAAAATCCGGTGCAGTGTACTAATTGTCAGGAATATGGACATTCGAAGTCGTATTGCACACTCCGCAATGTTTGTGTTGCATGTGGCGACTTTCACCGCACTAAGGATTGCACATCAAATAAAAAGGACCCAAAAACAAAAAAATACTGAAATTGTGGAGGCAACCACACCGCTAATTATAAGGAATGTGTAGTATACACTACCAAAAAACAAAGAATGTTTCCTACATTGCTTCCCCGCTCTCAGTCAGTAATCCCACCACAACCTATTCAAACGCGATCTCAGCCAAATGCTCCATCCGACTCCGACTCCAACAATACGTGTACACGAATGTCATATGCAAACGCTGTTAGAGGATTCACTGACCCAAGAAACGTCCAAAATGAAAGCTCTACTAAACCATCTCCAAATATCGAAAACATAATCCAACTGTTTATGGAAAATATGACACAATTTATGAACACCATGCAAAATATGATGCAAGGAATGATTTAAAATCAAAATATCCTACTTTCAATCTTATCCAAACCATAAGTGCAATCACAATTTGATTTTTACAGTCACATCAAATTGACGTCATGCTTATCTCAGAGACCCATTTTAACGAGAAAAGCTACTTTAAGATACCTGGTTACATACTCTACGATTCAAAACATCCCAGTGGACGAGAAAGACGCGAATCTGCTGTCCTCATAAAAAATAACATTAAACACTTCCCAACTCACAACCTTGAAGCAGAATATATGCAGGCGACAAGCATATGTCTAGAAGAGTACATAAAAGGTCTGACTAAAGCCTCAATTTATTGACCACCAAGGTATAAAATAACGGAACTTCAATTCGAAGAATATTTTACAAAGCTTGGACCCAAGTTCATAGCGTCCGGCGACTTCAATGCCAAACATACATTCTGGGGCTCACGACTTATATCACCAAAAGGAAAATCCCTGATGAACGTGATATCAAAACTCGACCTTAACATATCCTCCACTGGCACACCAACATACTGGCCTACAGATCAGAAAAAATCTCCAGACATCATTGATTTTGCGGTAACAAAGAATTTAAAAAGAGATCAAATTGCTACCGAGGCATCCTTAGAACTCTCCTCTGATCACACGCCGATTTTTATTCTGATTAGAAACACAACAATAGTCAATCCAAAATCCGAAGAAAAGCTCATAAACCAGCACACAAATTGTCTAAAATTTAAGAAATATATTAGCTCACATATTAACACCGACACTTCCCTAAAATTAAATATTGAAATTGACAAGGCCTTACAGGACTTCACAGCTTTACTTTAACAAGCCGCTCGAATATCAACCCCACTCCCAATACACCACAAACTTATAAACTACCATACATCGAACGAAATTGCAACTCTTATACAGGAGAAACGACAAAAACTACTCCAATGGCAACAACAAAGATCTCCCTGAATTAAAAGACAACTCTAAAATCTGACGAAAGCACTTCAAAGATTACTCAAAGAAAAAAATCGCATAGAATACGAAAATTTTATTTCACAATTGTCTCCAGCGGAAACAACAAACTACTCTCTTTGGAAAGCTACTGAACTCAAGAAAAAGCCCGTTATACATAGAGCACCCTTCCGACTCACAGATGGAGACTAGGCTAAAAGCGATGAGGAAAAGGGTGTTGCTTTTGCAAATCATCCTAAATATGTATTTACCCCAATCTCTAATTTAACAAAACTTGACTCTCTGCCTTACTCCACACGAAACGACAATATGGCAATTTGCTTCAGTGAAAAACCACTAAAAAGCGAAATCAAAAATTTAAATACCAAAAAAGTCCCAGGCTATGACCTAATTACAGCGAAAATGCTGAAAGAGATCCCACAAATCGCCAAAGACCAACTACTTTTTATTTATAACGCTATTTTAAGGACTGCATATTTTCCAAGTGACTGGAAGCTATCCAAAATCATGATGATACCCAAGCCCGCTCAAGTCACCTCATATCGACCCATAAGTGTAGTAATTTAAAAACCGTGTTCTCTTTTAAGACTTGCTTTATTGATTGAAATATGTTTTTACAAAGTTCATATTTGGAGGAGCAGTGTGCATTAGCATACTGTGAGAATTTGCTGAATTGGCGTCTTCACACGCCAGCCCAAACACTATCGTCAAACGGACGGTAGGGGCTCATATTGCAAGAATGCAATAAAGTTACAATAAATATCAGCATACTTATTTACTCACATAGTGTATGCTTATGCACGCTACACCTCCTGTTTTAAAAAAATAATGTAATAAAATTTTAAACAAAATTTTATGTAATTATTAATAATTGTATATATTAATGTATTATTAATATATTGCTTATATATTGCATATAAAAGAA